GGAACATCCCATTTCTGCAGGACCCGTTTGAGAATCACCCATCCGGGCAATATGTTCAAACAGGATTTTCGCAAGGGACCTTCACAGGCGAGCACATTGTACAACAAACACCGGGAAGCGCGTAAAACTTATCCAGTTATAGTCCTTCACTGCCGGGATAAAAACAGCTCACGAGTTCATCGTCCCATCTCGACTGCCGTGAGAACCTCCCCGCGATGATTGGAAGTTGGCGAGTTTGCTCCTTGTTTGACCTCAATTCAGAACATGCGCCGGGTGACACATGGGAATTGGTCACTTGGATCTTCCAAGTCGCAACAATTTCATAGTGGCTTTAATGGCTTCGCGACGCAAAAGTCAGCTTAAAAGGGTGTCAATGGAAGGGCGGTAAAATGGGGACAAAAAGATACAAAGAATGCTGTAGACTTTAGACCCTGGGAACTCGATCCTCATCTGCCACCCCCTTCTGGACAGAATCCACGAGAATCGATCAGAATTTGGGATGGTTTGTCAAGTAGTTAAATCGAGTTCTCATCGGCGTGGAATTTCGTATTGTGGGCCCCTACTCCAAGAACCCGCGTCTCTTGCGGGGACTCTTTCGGAGAAAAGAACAAGTATCATTATTGGTATTCGCGCTATTATTATTATTATTATTATTAATATTTTTCTTTATTCTAATTCGTATTAGTATGCCTATTCTTACTATTATTCTTACTATTATCATTACTATTATCCGTTCTTAGTATTGTTCTTATTCTGATCCTTATTCTTCTTGTTATTGTGATCACTACAACTGTATTGTTTTTATTGCTATTAGTTAGTGCTATTGCTACTATTGTGATTATTATTGTTATTAGATTTTCATCATTACTATTACTATTACTATTACTATTACTATTACTATTACTATTACTATGACTGTTACAATTACTATTACTTTTACTATCACTATTAATTAGCGTTATTTTTCTCATTATTATTTGCATTGCTATTATCGTTAGTATTATTATTACTATAATTATCATTATTACTATTACTCTTGTTACTCTTATTAATACTCTTATTATCATTATTATTATTCTCATTAGTCTGCCTATTCTGGTTATTACTATCATTGTCATTATTATTAGATAGTATTATATTCTTAATATTATTATCATTATCATAATTGTCGTTATCACTATTACTATTACTATTCATTAGTGCTATTACTATTATTGTGATTATTACTGCTATTACTATTATCATTATTATTAGCATTATGTTATTACTCTTATTATTACTATTAATTAGTGTTGCTAGTGTTATTGGCATTATGATTATTATTCGTATTATGATGATGGCTATTATTATTATGGTTGTTATTGTCGTTGTTGTCTGTTGTTTGTTTGTTTGTTTGTTTGTTTGTTTGTTTGTTTGTTTGTTTGTTTGTTTGTTTGTTTGTTTGTTTGTTTGTTTGTTTGTTTGTTTACTTGCTTGCTTGCTTGCTTGATTGTTTGTTTGTTTGTTTTTCTGTCTGTCTGTCTGTCTGTCTGTTTGTTTGTTGGCTGGTTGGTTGGTTGGTTGGCTGGCTGGCTGGCTGGCTGGCTGGCCGGCCGGCCGGCCGGCCGGCGGGCTGGCGGGCTGGCTGGCTGGCTGGCTGGCTTGCTTGCTGGCTGGCTGGCTGGCTTGCTTGCTTGCTTGCTTGCTTGCTTGCTTGCTTGCTTGCTTGCTTGCTTGCTTGCTTGCTTGCTTGCTTGCTTGCTTGCTTGCTTGCTTGCTTGCTTGCTTGCTTGCTTGCTTGCTTGCTTGCTTGCTTGCTTGCTTGCTTGCTTGCTTGCTTGCTTGCTTGCTTGCTTGCTTGCTTGCTTGCTTGCTTGCTTGCTTGCTTGCTTGCTTGCTTGCTTGCTTGCTTGCTTGCTTGCTTGTGTTATTTTGTGGGAGGGGGGGTGTCTTTGCTTGTGTTATTTTGTGGGAGGGGGGGTGTCTTAAAGTCCAAACCAGGTGGTTGCCGTCTGGTTTCCCTCAACCCAAAAAGGCTACGCCATCAGAATTTTCACGGCTACGCCTGGAGCTGGCGCTTCACCGCCGCAATGGCCTGCCGAAGCTCCTCGTGAGACAAAAGGGCTCCCCCCAGAAAAAGGGGAAAACGGGGAAAGGGCCGGGGGGAGGGGGGGTTGGGGGGGGGGGGGTTGGCTTTTGGGGGGGTTAATTTAAAAAGGGCGTTCTGCGTTTTTGTTTGAGGCCACTGTTTGGATATTGTTTGAAGGTCAACCAGAAACAAAATGGATTGTTGCAAAGAACCCCAAAGAGCTCCAGGTTCTGAGCTGTGAAACCATGTTTTGTAGTGGCGCTTCCCTTTGTGGAACTCCAACCCGCCTCCTTTCGCTGCTGGCTCTCCTCTTCCTGTCAAGAAGTCTTGCTCGTCCAATCCAGTTTGACAGCCATTAATCATATGCTTAATCAAGTCAGTCTTTTTTCTTGGCACATCCCAAACAGCCGGTGGGGAAATAGCCATGTTGATCCAAAACGATGCAAGAGTGCGAAATGAGGAAAAGTGACATCAGTTCGTGGCATCTTCCCCTTCCACCAACAATCCCGCACTGAGCACAGCTACCCCCTTTCCAAGAAGGGAAGGTTTGGTCCTTCCAAAAGGGGCAACGGTACGCCAAGTCATATTTGTGTCTCTTGAGGCAGGTTCTCCTTTGGTTGCCCTCAGAAAATTGGGGTTAAGTTCCCGAATAACACAGCCACCTTGCCAGGAGACTAGCTGGTGGATGCAAATTCCTTTGGCCACTCACAGGTGGCTACCTAAAACCAAATTAACCATCGTGCAACCGTAAGCCCTTGCTGAGGCTGTCAAACACTTGTTGATTCAACATCCTCCTTCTGAATCTCCTTCTGCAACCACGGACTAGCTGTATCAGGCACTCTCTTCATGCCTGCTTGGTGAGGTTTCGACGGTGTAGTTCCGACAGCTGCCTCATGTGGCCGAAGGAAGCTTCCCATTCGTGTCCGACGTGGGAAGGCCAGCAAGAGAGAGAGAGAGAGAGAAAAAAAGAAAAGCGAGACGAAGAGTGACAAGTGAGACGAAGAGAGGCGGAGAGAGAGCCAAAGAGAGATGAAGATAGACAAGGAAAGGCGGAGATAGAAGCAGGGGTACACAGAGACATAGAAACATAGCGAGAGAGAGAAAGAGCGACAGTTAGATAGAGAGAGAGAGAGAGAGAGCGGGAGAGAATGAGGAAGAAGAGACCGAGAAAGCGGGAGAGCGAGAGGGGCTGGAGCCTGACGGGTTTTGTCTTCGTCCATTGGGAATGGACAACACTCTTCCAGGCACCTTTCCTCGAAAACAGCATGCCACACAAATCCGATCTGTGGCAACGTCGGCAAGCATTCCCATCAGCATATTCTGTGCAAAGAGACATATTACTGACTGAGTTCGCACATAGGTACAAACGCCAACTCACACGATCAAAATATGCAACATGGCCTTGGGAAAGTCAAGCTTCCCTCACCCTGATTTGTTCAAATTTGGTGGCACGTGCACCCGTCTCCCGAGCTACCAATTGACCGGGAACAGGATATCTTCAGTGTCCCCCTGGCTGTGCCGATCCTGGGCCCGTGGGTCAGACATCAAACCAGAGGGCCCTTTTGAAAGGTCCCTTTTGCAGAAGCGTGTCTGACACAAAAGGCAGCCATACAAAGAGAACAAAAACAAGTCCCAACAAAATGAAATCCACCCTGACCAGCGGAGTATGTCTCAAAATCGGGGACCTCTTTTTAGATGATGTTTAAAGGAAACCAAGAGGAAACCACCCCTAAAAAAGGGCCCCCTAGTTGGAGACACTCCTAGAAACTCTCTGCGGGGCGCCGCGCTTGTGCTTCGTGAGCAAGGCCGCGCTCGCGAACTTCCGCTTGCAGAGGAAGCAAATGTACCTGCGGCTGGGTTCGATTCCGCAAGTCAGGGAATTTGCTTGCCAGGGGATCCCTCAAAGTGCAAACACAAGGGATGGTTTAAGGGGTATTCCCTTTTTCCCTTAGCACCAGGGGGGGATGGGCAGTCCGATTTGAGGGGGTTCCTGGGCCAAGGATTCATAAACGCCTGGTTGATTGCGCAGCTCGACTTTGGTCAAGGCTCATTCAACCTGGTACAAGTTGAAAAGTCGCGCCCTGAAGGACGAAAAACTGGGATTCTTCAAGAGCTCTTCGATGTTGGGTGTTCGTTTTGCGGGAACCCAGTCCAGCGGGAGTGATCAGCTTTTATGCTTGGGGAATCCGGTGCCCTCAGTGATTCGTGCTGAACCCTGCAAATTTTTGAAAGTTATTGACATTCCTATCTCAAGGCACGTGTAGGGAGCCCAGACTCCAGGCGCTTTGTTTGGGGGCAGAAAGAGCAGGAAAGCCAGTCACGGAACATCCCGAATCAGACTGGAGTCGGTCCATCAGGGCCATGGTTTGATGCAATGCTTCGATTGTCTGAAAGGATGTCCCCCCTTTGACATGGGACTTTGGTGTGTAGCCCCCTCCCATGTCCTGTTGACAATTTTGCGCATATGTCCAATGTTGTCTTCTTTATTCTCGCAGACAACAGAAAATATTGGTCCCATGCGGGTTGAGAACGGGCGCATAAACGAACCATTAACACAGCCGCGCACACTGCTTTGCAGTCAACCCTCTGTGAACTTTGGGTGGGTCGACCCTCAAACATACTGTGTTGCTTTACTTTTTCACTTCGCCCGCGCAACCCTCTGCAGACTTTCGGAGGGTCGACCTCACAAAACTGAGGGCTGTTGCGTTTTCAGCTGGCGCAACCGTCAAAAAGTGAACCCTTTGCGGCCTTTCGGCGGGTTGAGCGGGTTGACCTTCAACAAACTCATGCTCGTGTTTGCTTGTGTTGCTTCGCCTACAGCACCCTCTAGCTAAGTAACCGGCGAACTGGCAAAGCAAGGTAGCGGTGGAGAGATGGAAGGAGAAGTAAATAGTTGGTAGGTAGATAAAGGGAAAGATTGACAACTTGTGAGTCGCCGGGCGTGGCAGCTGTCTCAGCTGTCTCAGCTGTCTCAGCTGTCTCTGCGCGTGGAGTTGGGCTTGCCACTGAAAAAGCTTGAAACAAGACATCGTGCAGATGACTGCTTTGACTAAGGTCTCCAAAGTGAAAGACGCGCCGATCTCCCCAAGCTTTCATGCTCAACAAAGTGCCGTTTCGTGCGGCGCACAAAAGCCTTCGTGATCATCTTCGTGCGTGCGGCGTGCCTCGCTTAGCTGCCGTCTCGGGCCGCGCGTTGTTGTCGTCGCGTGCCGGGACTGCATACGCTGAGCACACGCGTTTCGGGCCCAAAAAAAAGAATGAGCGAGCAAGAAACGCGTGCGCTCAGCAGCATGCTGTGCCTCGTGTTGTGCCGGTTGCAAGCATAGAACAACCTCGTGGCGTGGAGGCGCGGAAAGACAGGAGCGCTGCTTGCTTCAAGGCGTTACAGGAGAAGAGGATCTCCAAAAGAGAAAAAAGGAAGCAGAAAGGAGAACATATAGTTGTTCCACCTTTGAAATGTCCCTCCCCCCGGCCCCAGCTCTGCCAAACATGACTGGTAAGGGTTTACGAAGGCTTGACTTTAACCCAAAAGGATCAAGGCAGTAGAATCTCAGTAGAACTACCTCCTAAAACGGCACTTCCGGCATTGCCAAAGGGCGCTGCTCAAGTGGCTTTTCGCTTGGCGCGCCGTGGGGCAACGCTGTCCGCCATGACGAAGGTGTGTCTCTCAAGCGCCTGAAAGTACCGAAGCAGAGGATGCTGTGGATCAAAAATCCACCCAAATCGATCAGGAGTTGGGATTCCGTGGTTTATCAACCAGTATTCAAATCGTGTTTTATCCATCCCAGTTGGTGCCCGTTTTGCGGATCCAACCAACGAATCCCAACTAGTGCAGGACTTCCATCCACTCAAGTCACGGATCCCTGTCAAAGACACCCCCCAATTAGACTCCACCGGTTGAAGAATCCGCGTCCATTATGAATCTCAATGATGAACTGGTGAGCATAAACCCCCCATGTAAATGATGTGCGGGTCGCCATTGAGTTTCACCGCCATATGTTTGCACAGTCTTTAAAAGTCCTCAGATCAGTCTTCGGATACTGCGAACTGGCGGAAACTGAATCATAATTGGCCAGGATCGAGTACTGATGGCACGACACATTCCAAGCACACTTGGGTCCTCGCTCAAGCCATTATTTGCTACCCACGTGTCAAAGCAGCAACAACGATATAACGCTTGCTTCAGAAGCTCTCTCCTCTCATCGTGCTGCATTTGCCAGTGTGTTGTCATACGTGGGTTTCTCCAAACAAACCGCAACTGTGTTTCAGATTCATCTTGCCCTTCGGCTATGTTGCCTGTCCATGCATGCCGCGGGCTTAAGCAGACTGGCTCTCGCCATGTTGCATCTGCGCAACGTCTAATTCTTCGAGCAAAAGCCGGGGCGAGCGAAGAGATTCCCTCCTGAGGTACCCAAAGGACTGGATGTGTCTGCGCTGTTCAAGCGCCACACTTCTTGAGTCCTTTGTGGGAAACTGTGACAAAAGAAAAATGTTTTGTAGCCAAAGGGAAGGATTGAGGCTTGCGTTTGAACAGAAGAGCAATATGGCACCTGAACACCGGAAGCACCCTCCACACTTGCTTGCTTCCTCCAAAATGAACATGTTCGGGCTCGACAGAACCCAACCAAAAAGTTCCCCGCTCCCCGCAGTATATATATATATATATGTATGTAGATATACATGTCTGATCTGTATGATTCGATGTTTAATAAGTTCACCAACTGAAAACAAGGGAACCTCCTGCCAATGACAGCGGATCAACACAGGTGAGGACACAAACCAAAAGCCTTGGAAAGATAGCACATCAATATGCCCTAATCTGGTATTCCCTGTCTGTTCCGAGTTGGTGCCCTTATTATTGCGTGGTCTGAAAGGGAAACCCAAGACAAACCACCCATTTTGGGCTTCCCTCACTCAAAAAAAAACGATTTGTGGGTGTGACTTTACTTGAGGACCCCATGCTGGACACTTATGCGCTTGAATTTACGTTCGGCGGTTACCACCCAAATTCCGTTCGCCAAAAACCACCTCCACATCAAGGTTCAATGATTTTGTCACCCCGTAATGGAAGTAAACCGAGGTTTGTGTGGGTTATGTCAGCCGGCTTGTATTCCCTGAAAACAAATCGCACGGGACGTCACTCGCCGCGGCCAATCCGTCCGCCCGGATGTTTTAGGCGGAGCTGGGGTCTTCCATGCGGCGCCGCGATGTGGGCCGTGGAGCCTCGTCTGGCGCCTAAGCCCAAAGGGTGGCCCAAAGGGCGCAGGCAGTCATTTGGGTGTGGCTTCTTGCCGAGGCTAGCCCCCAAAAAAGGCTGGGTGCAGGGAACTGCAGCTTGCTCTGGCCCTTTTGCTCCTTTAGACATCACCCTGCAATTAACATCGAACCCATCTATGGCGTCCATGTCCCTAGGAGTGTCGAAGTGTCCTCTACAACTCCTTCTCTCAACCGGGGTTGAGGGCATTTGTTTTAAAGGAAAACCACCAGTTGGAGGGCACCCTAAAAAAGAGACATCCAAGTACTCTCAAAAGTTCTTGCAACGAGGTCGCAACGCTGCGCTTCAACCCCAGCGTAATCCCGGCGCCTCAGCCGAGAGCTCCGGTGCCCCCCCCTTACACACAGGGGTTGGCTCCCCATTCTTCTCAACCAGCTTTCTTCTCAATGAAAAGAAAAACTGAAGAATTATAGGGAAATTACCCCCCAGAAACATAGGCTCCCCTGCATCCAAAAGGAACCTATTTGTTAGAACCCATTTAACACACAGTTCTTGAGCAGCAACCCATTGCAGTCACTGAGTACACGTGTGCTGTGAAGCTCATTCTCAAGGTGCTCGCCAAAACATGAGTGATGGGTCATCCGTTTGGCAACATCAATATCAATGGATTTAACTGGTAGATCAAAGCAACCTAACTCAAACCAGTGCCATCTCTGTTAAACCAAGCTGACAAAAAAGGCCACCTCAAAAGGGAAGTGACCCTCTTTGGTTATTTGGCAGGCTTGTTGTCGCAAACAAAAGAGCGCCCCGCATGGTTGCCGAGAAATAGCCTTGCGAGACCACATTAGGATTCCCCATGACCATTCTATAGGTGTGTCTTTTCTCAGGAGACCTCCTAAAATGATGGTTTTCCTTGGCGTCCCCGTACACACCCCTTTCGCTTTACACTAAATTCCCTCTTTAGCCACTCACAAAAAGTAGCAACTCAAGAGCCGCGATTATCTACACCACCGCTCCCCCAGTTTGATCCAGGGTTGGGCCCATTGTTTGAACATGTTTCGACCCTGCTGTGCCAACCACCTCCGTTTGGTTTCTCACTGGAGAGGACAACGTTTGTTTAAACAATTTGTGCAACCAACCAGTATAAACCAATGATTGGGTATTCCATTTGCTTGGCAAACAACTGCCATCTGCTCTCTTGCTTGTCCCGGTTTAGGTGGAGTTAGAGGGACCCAAGGAATCCACATACTTCCCCTTTCTCCGAACGGTACATTGTGACAAGTTTATTTTGGCTGCACCAGAGAGCAACCAAGCTTAGGTCAAACCAAAGAGTAACTGAGTCAAGAAACCACAACTAATACTCAACAAATCACCCAAATCCACGAACCCCCTGCTCTCGCGTTGTTTCTCATCTTTTGGGACCGGCATCCACAGCCCCCCGCCGCTTTTTAGCTGGTCCGGGGTCATCCTTCCGACCATCTACTCCCATTCTATGACCATCAAAGTCAAGTGATGGGGGCAAAATCGAAGTACCCACGCTGACTTTCCTATCAAAAAGATACTATTGATTGTAGTCTGAATGGTCCATTGCTAATCTGGTGGGGATGTCATGAGCCCCTCCAAAACCCTGCGAGTTATTTGCCTGGGAGCTGCCGAGTTTGGGTTCTGCCAACATGATCAAATTTCTGGTTTAAATACATCAACACGAAAAGAAATGTGTCGAACAAGAAACCCGGACCTTCTTAGAAGTCTTTCTACCGTGCAAACTCTGGCTGAAAACCGCCAGATGCAGCACGTCCTTCCCTTGTGCGGGTACATCTTTTGGTTTCCGAGGGACACAAACGGCGCGAAGCAAACCGCGCGAAGCCGAGGCCGCTGCCCAGCGCGGACTCCAGGCCCTCCGTCGCCAGATCCTCCGCCTCGTCGCTGGTGGAGTCGCTGCTGGACTCGCTGCCTCGGACGCGCGAGCGGCGGGTGCCCTTCCGGAGGCCCAAAGTCGGATTGATGGTGTGGGGGGGGAGTGGGCGGGGCCGGTTTCACACCTACCGCTCACAAGCACTAGGCCTTCATACGCCCGAACCACCGGTTTAGCCATGCTTACAGGTTGAATAATGTGTTTTGTTCTTTTTAGCTGGGTTTGCATGCTTGTATACTTGAAGCAGGTGTTTCAAATGGGTTGCTGAAACCAGAATGTTTAATCGAAGTTGGTTTGAGCAATCAGACCCTGGCCCCCTTTAAAGGAATGCTGAAGGAGGTTGTGCAAGGTTCCAACAAACTTCTTGAAGGGTTCTTGAACCTTTCTGGGGGTCGAGGGCGGCCCAACTCTTGAAGCAGAAATTCTTCAGGGAATTGCCGGAAAATAACAGGTATGCCAGGCAACCATGGCCAACCCAGAGATCTTAGTAAGTTGCGGAAGAGTACTTGATGCGCACGGCCAAAGACCGGCCTAGCACATGCCAGGGTCAACGCTTGGTGTCTGCGCACGCACGTTTAGATATTGGTCTCTTTTCCTCCAGTCCAGTGACTGACACGAGCGAAACTGCCACAGGGCCTTCCGCCTAGATATCCATCAACTCAGGGCAGAGCCTACACTTCTGCGCTCAGGGTCCACAACGATGAACAAATCACGAGCGTGCCAAGGAAGCATGTGTACGCCCGAAATTCCCATGCCAAAAAACTCGGTAGGCCAAACGGCTTGAAAAGGGACCCCTGATTTGTAAACCCCAATTATTATCAAAAGGACCCGGTCAGAATAGAGAAATCCTGGAATGACTGAGGGTATATCGCTGATGTACCCTGTCCTTGCAGGACTTCTCTCTGATACTATATCGGTGTGTCAGAGATCAACATGTGGGCGCATCCTGATCCTTCAAACATGGGGAGAAATATGCGTCACTTCGCGATCGTGACCCATGAAAGAAGTACCCATACCCAGTGCTTCCAGACTTCATAGGTAACCAGGGGTTTCCCCATGACGTAAAGCCTGGTAGCGATACCTATAGAGGCAACTAAAAGCAGCCCAGAACTTCTACCCTTGAGGCTTGGTCTGCTGTTTATGACTTGGCTCCAAAAAGTCCACTGGTTTCGAAGCCTGGAAGAGTCTCTCAAACGAGCCAGCAAAACCTGGTCTTGCAAGGGTGCTCACCATGTCCCAATGTTCCGCGCCTATTGGCACTGTCCCTTGCTAACCTTCTCTTTCTGGGCCCATTGTTCCACCATGGGCAGCCCCCGAAGTGGTTGCTTAAAGGGCAAGCCCATGTGACTTTGATAACCCCCAACAGCTAAAGCAATGAAGTCAGACCCACCAACGAGCCGAGCTGCTGGAGTCGCCCGAAGAGTCCACCTTCTCACCTCTCAGCTTTGCAAAGGCACGCCCTTCTCACCTTGGTCTTTTTTGGCAACCCAAAAGGAAAACCAAAAACTAACCTTTTTGCAGGGGCCATACTTTGACACATACCCACTGACCTATGTACATCTGATCCAAACATGGCAAGGCTGTGGCTCCTCGCCTGCTCCTCGTGCATGGCGCATGCGAAAACCTCAAGTTCCATTGGTGGGCTGAGGCTCCGAATTAGAGGACCCTATTCAGAACCAGCTACAGGAATTACAAGAAATTCTTGCTTTTGGAAGGCGTTTGGGCCATGTCCGGTAGAAATTCCTGTAGCTGGTTTCTAGGACCTATCATCAGGGAATCACTTTTAGTGAGGAAATGATCTGTAGAGTAGGGGGGATCTTCGTGTGACTCGGCCTCCGGATTCATCCGCTCGCATGAATTCACCAACCTGATCCAAACTAAGAGACTTTCAAGGGTGAGGTCGCAAACCCCCAAGGCCATGAGGCCAGCCCAGATCTGGTGTTGTTCTCATTTCCAAACATGGTTCCATTCTGACATATGGATATGCATCAAATTTGTGCATGTGTATATATATATATATGCATATATATATATATATGTATATGTATATATATGTATGTATGTACATATGTATATAGTTATATGTATGCATATGTGTATATAGATATATATATATATACTTATATGTGTATATATGTATATATGTATGTGTATATATATATGCATGCGTGTGTGTGCCATGATCACAACTTCTTATATGGCCTATGGCCATGGTTCCCTCAATAGGAATGCTATTCGGGATCCTTACTACCAGGTGGATGACCCGCAAATCAAGGGGTCTTCTGACCATGGCACATATGTTGGCGTTCCTGTTTCTTGTTCCTTCTGGCTCAGGGGTAATCTTGCCATTCACCAAGACGGGGTTTAAAACCCCAAACCACCAATCCAAATCACCGATTGAAGGTACCTAATCAAATCAAAAACAAAAACCTTGCCCACATCTGGGGCACATCTAAAAAATGTTAAGACCCTATATCATAGCTTATCTGCCCTTAGAAAACAAAACACACAAACAAAAAGGAAAACGTTTTGGGTTGGAGAACCCAGAATGGTTCTGAAGGTCTATATATCCTTACTTGAACCTCCAAGGAACCAGGTATGAACGGAACTACCTAAGATGGCCAAATCGAACAACAAAACAGTTTCTGCTCCAAAACACCCTCCCGAGCATGGCCGGCAAACAAAACACACCGAAAATCTAGCAAAGTCCACATGTGGAGCTACCTCTGGAAGGGGTGGCGCTTGGAGTGCTGAGTGGGTTTGGGGCGGGTCTTGGGATGCCAAAAGAGCACCGGAAGAGTATCAAGGGAGAACAGGTGGAATACAGCAAAAGCCAAACCATGGACAGACGGCTCAGCAAGAAATTATCTTGCAGTACATGCTCAAAAGCCCTCCTCGAAAACAAAGACCTTCCAACATGGGCTGCCTTCCAGCCTACACGGAATGCCACGACCGAAACCACTATCGGCGCAAAACGAAAATGTAATATCCAGTATGCAACCATTGTACAAAGGCTATATGAATTCCTCTTGGTAGCAGTGATTTGGGGGTGGAAACCCCAAAGCAGATCCAGCCATTCCTAAGCCCAGCGCAGTCTCGTGAGTTTAACTCCAAAGCACGGTCATAGAGCCTGCGGGCCACGAAACTACAGACTGTGCGCTGTGGAAACATAAGCGCTTCGAAATCAACACCCATCCTAAAAACACACCTGTGGAAGGGTACCTAGATCGATTTCCTCGAGAGACTCCTGGTCAGGGTAAATGATATGGGGTCAAGGCCAATCGCAGAAGCTATGCATTTGAGGACCTTTGGCGTCTGGCAAATTGAGACTATCAGTGGATAGCGCCTGGGTGCGAACTTCTTCATGTTCCGGAACCACAGATAGGCCACCTGATGAAACCACGGCCCGAGCTCAACAAAATCCCCGGGGAGGAACAACATTGGTCAAAACTTGTTCAAAAGCTTGATGGCTATTCCCCCTGCCGAAAGAGCTTAACTTCATGCCGGGTTAGTGGGTAAATAATCGGTTTCCCAATAGGGGGGGGTTAAGATCCCACCTAAGAGCATTCAAGAGAAGCAAGTTGTTCGAACGGTTTGAACAAGTTGAAAACCCGGATTGGATCGCCCGTCTGCCTGGCCTTCTCGCGGTCCTTCCGAGCTCGGCACCACACTGTGTCGAAATTGTCTGGGCCACCTCGGGTCTGCGGCTGGTGTCATGGACGTTCTGGGTGTGCGTCTGTAATGGGTGTGTATGTGTGTGTGTGTGTGAGTTTGTGCTTGTGTTCGTGTTCGTGCTCGTGTTCGTGTTTGTGTTTGTGTTGGTGTTAGTCTTTGCGTTTCTTGAGGGTACCCTTTTCACCCTTGGTCGGAAGGAAACCCAAAAGGAAATCCGCATCTTTTTGCATCTTGACGCAAGATCGTTTTACACATGAGTCTGTCAAAAACTCAACAGCCCCTTGTTCATGTCAAGTTATTCAAAGGAAGACAACAAGGTGACCAACCACATTTGGTGTTCTCCTATCTTTGTGAAACAACCACAGGTCACTTCTGCACTTCCTTTCGTGCCTAGAAACCGGTTTAGATCAAGCTCGTGCAAGGCGCTAATCGACCGTGCTGAGCATGCCATCAATACCGAGCCGCAATAATTCTGGGTCACTGCAACACAGTCCTGGCGGGCATTAAATGAGTTCGCATCTCTCTCCCGGGCGATTCTCTCTCTCTCTCTCTCTCTCGTTTTCTTTCTCTTCCCATCCAAACTATATAACCAATGCTGTGACTCACTAAGGCTGTGTCCAAGTTAAAGGCTTTCGAAACATTGTGTTTTCTTGTAGTTTCCTTTGCTTTTCAAAATCTGCCAAATGAATCGATCCCTAGGTGTCCTGTTGAAGAAAAGTATTGATCCAATCAGAATGAAACCAATGCTATTCCCTGAAACATCACCCCGGTTTCAAACCACAGAAAAGGCTAATGTAGGGAACCCTGCAAAATTCAAGAGTGGTTGGTGGACATGAATCCCCGCCGATGTCAACCAAAGGGTCCTCTATTGAAATGCCACACGACCTGCCGAAATGGACCCATCATTTCTCACCTGAGCCGTCCTCCAGATTGAGCACACCATGCCACCAGTCCTGCCAAAAAAGTGACTTCGGCGGCACAAAATGCGCTGCGCCAAATTTCTTGGTTGCTTTTAGTAAAGCCTCGGTACCCTTTTCACCTCGATTTAGAAAAGCGACCAAGAAGAAAATCACAATTATTGGTTGCCCTGTTTGGGCACAGGCCCGTTATTCGAGGACACGCAAGCGAGGGATCAAGAAAGCTAAAGCCTCCATTAAACCTTGTTGAATGAGCTGTGATAATAATTGATATTGTGCTATTGTTCTTGTACACTTGGTGTTCCTCAAGCTGGGGGTGTAGTCATGTATTTGTTATTGTGCTTTCTCCCATTTGCAAGGGCCCCTCAGCAGCTTTCTTTACACAGTGAAATGAGGACCAAACATCAAAAACCAGATTAGTCCATGCGGGAGCATCTGCTAAAAGCAATATGTTTGATCTGCAAGGGTCAAAAACTGCCTTGATGGGTTCAACCTATGTTGGCAACAAACGCATTTGGACGACCGAACCCAGTTTCGCAACCCAGGCGACCGACGCTGCCATCCCGTCCCCGGGCACGAAGATGACATCCCCGGGCCGCTGCAGACCCTCGTAGCTCTTCACCTCGCCCGGTTCGGCCATGGGGAGCTCGTCGTTTTTGGTCGGGTACCCCCCCGCCCCCCCGCTTCTTGGTGGCGTTTCAAGGGAAACCAGATGAAAAACCACAACTTGTTTTGGGGGGACCCATTGAAAAGACATATGCAGAATGGTTACAAAGGTCTTTGTATGCCATCCTCATTTTCCCAAAGGGCCGCTTGGCTCAGCTACCCGGGTTGGACGTGTGCGCGATGAACAGGCTCCAGAAAACCCATTCATCAAAAACCGAAGGAACAAGGATAACCTGAGTTCTCCGGTCAAGTTTGTCCAGATTCCCCAGGCCTGTAATGGCCGATTCAGAGAGCTGCTGATAGTTGGTGGGAAGTTCCATCGTACGGGTAACCGCGGCCCGTAAATGGCCAGCATATCCTTGGGGCAACGCCAAAGCTGGACCCGCGGAAAGGAGGCTCGAGCGGATGGTTCGTTCCCTTTAATCCGTTCCCCCTATTAATAAAGGTCTCCCTAATAATAAATATTTGTTTCGGAAGTCCCAAATCCGGGAATACTACTTTTAGAATAGCCAATACTAAACCAATTCTAAAGTAGATATTTTTCTGCCCGTACTCAAATCCAGCCCCATTAGGGGGACCCCGGGGGCACGTTTCCTTTACTACGGCTGTACTACAAAGTTGCGACTTTCGAGCCAGAGCTCCAGGAGCACGTTTCCTTTACTACGGTTGTACTACAAAGTTGCGACTTTCGAGCCAGAGCTCCGGGAGCACGTTTCCTTTACTACGGCTGTACTACAAAGTTGCGACTTTCAAGCCAGAGCTCCGGGAGCACGTTTCCTATACTACGGTTGTACTACAAAGTTGCGACTTTCGAGCCAGAGCTCCGGGAGTACGTTTCCTTTGAGAACCTGCCCTCCAAAACCTGCCCTCCAGAACCAGGGGACCCCTAATAATAAAAATTGTTTTGCAGGCCGGGTATTTTTTTTATTAGGGAGGGGGGGGGGGGGGCGGGCGTCGTTTATTATTAGGGGGAAGGGATTAACCCTGGTCATCTGGGGGAACGCAAAAAGATCCTGTTTCATGAGGTTCTGTTTCATATTTGGTCCCTAACATCTAGCAAATTCCCTTGGTTTGGAGACGGTAAGCCTTGCGCAGGACCTGAGGCTCGGGGCATCCGGATATGCCTCCTTGAGGCGTGGCAGCAGAAAGTCGAAGTACATGACGGCTTCGGTATCCTCGCCTCGCAATCCGCTGGGGCATTAAGAGCCATTGGGCTCTGTAAAGACCCTTTCTGTCAGGTTGCAACCTTCCTTCCACCACAAAGTTGGGGTTGAAAGGGACATGTGGAGGAGTTCCGTGCTCTTTGACACCTCGGACGCAAATGTCTAAAGTCCTGCAAACACCAACAAACCCGCCAAAGGCAGGTTCAGTTCAACCCCCCCCATCTGAGATCCTGAGATTTTGGGCCCACCCAAAGTTTTGGTGCCGCGACTTCGAATGGACGATTGGGAGGCAATTGTGTCACGTCGCTGTTTGGGTCACGATGCGCAACTGCCACGTGTTCTTCTTGATGTTTCTTGTTCGACTGTCATGTTTTTGGGACATGGGGTCTCGGGCCATTAGGAGTTCGCCCCATGTAAATGACCACCCAGACGCAAACGGACATTCCCAAATCTTTGGTCAATGGGACATATAGGGGGAGGGCAAGGGACATGCCGTGTATATACTAAAAACAAACATCTTTATACACGTGGGTCGTCTCTTGTTTGGTTTCCCTTTGAACCAAGCCAAAGGGCAGTTTCTCGCAAAAAGGCTTCAAAAGCAAACTTCATGGAAAGTTGTTTACTTCAGCCTAGATGCTCTATTTCGGGAGTCAACTAGCGAATCCAACCACAACTAGTCACAGGACTCCAAGAAATCTCAATCACCAGCTTGCATCAAGCCCCCCACAACCCCCCCGCTTCACAGCCGCATCGCCAAAGGTTTCCCTTTTAGCCATCTTTTGGCAAGCCAAAGAAACTCACCTTAAGTTGGCTGCAAAGGTGATGCTTGAAACCACCGAAAGGACAATATAGGGAGCCCCGTCTACCCAAAACCCACAGCAAAGAATCAAACAAATCAATCCCTAAGCCATCTGGCTTGGCTAATTGGACACGGGGGTAAATCATCAGGCACCATCGCGGGGATATCGGCCAACTACTTTCGGGCAGAGTTTATGGGGACCAACCTCAACCATGGCAATCCCCCTTTGACTTTCCTAGTAAACCATACCTCCGCTAAAGGAAGTACCGACTCAAAACAACACACACAGCTTGAGATTTGACAGTCTCAATTTGACCCAACTCCAAATAAAGCAGATCTTCAGATTCTGCTTCATATTTGAACTTCGGATTCATCTGGACCATGCTAAGCCAAAAGGCCTCCCCCTTTGGGGCATCCGTTCATTTCTGGGGGATTCCTTGGATGATTAATGTGAGGTTAAAAGCCCGACTAGCTTTGGAGGAGACCCTCCCCCCCAGCTCTAAGGGTGGAAGTACATACCCCTTGTCCATGCCCCTTGGCTTCCGTGGTTTCCAACCCACTTTATACCCCTTTTCAGGAGAGGGGTATGAACATCAGCAGGCCTTTTGGGTTCGTTTGTCCAAGGGGTATGTAAAAGTGGAAGGTACAAGCACCCCTGGACCGGCGCGCCTTTCCGCACCAGGTCTTTGGCCTTGGCCTAAGCGTTGCGAATCAATCCGGGCTCGGAAGCGAAGCGAAAGCTGGAAGGACCCGGGTTGGTCCAAGACCCCTTCACAGCTTTAAACTGTTTGCTTGTTAGTAGGGAAGCAGTTGTTATTTGTTTGCTTGCATGCTTGCTTGCTTGCTTGCTCGCTTGCTTGCTCGCTTGCTTGCTTGCTTGCTTGGTTGGTTGGTTGGGTGGTTGGGTCGCTATTTGTTTGTTTGTGTCTTCGTGTCTTCGTGTCTTCGTGTCTTCGTGTCTTCGTGTCTTCGTGTCTTCGTGTCTTTGTGTCTTTGTGTCTTTGTGTCTTTGTGTCTTTGTGTCTTTGTGTTCTTGCTTGCTTTGTTTTGGTTTCGCAAAGGTCATAGCTTAAAGGTCAGACTGAAGTGCAACTCCTGAGGAGCTGCTTCCCTCTAACAAGGACCCTGTGCCAAGTTAGCTGCCAGGGCAATGCCCAATCCACGCCCCTTGCTTAGCACTTCTGAGACCCATTCCAAACGCATTCAAACTTTTGACTCGCCCCTCAAAAGGGGGGCTTCTGCGCTCTTTGTTACCTTCCCACAAACAAAATTATGCCTAGAAAATAAAAAAAAACAAGCCAGAGGCAGGTCAAGCCTAACCGGTTCATGCCGATATCTGTACCTAACCTTCGACCCGGGTTTTGAGGACAACTAGGGGTAGGTTCCCGTTTTGGAGAAACACACTACCAAGCTTTGATGGAATGTTCCATGGTGCTTTAAACTGGTGTTGGAAGAAGACAAGGAACAAAGCTTGTTCCGGGGTCCCATGATGAGAAGAAACCTAGGCCGTCTGAAGGAGACTAAAAGGTTAGTGTCAGAAAAATATGTGACAACGAGCCAAATTCTTGTGAACCGATTTTGCGAAGCCATCTGAGATCGTTCCGGAAACTTCGGCCTCGCAGCTCAAAGCTCCGGGGGACCCGGGCGATGCGCTTGGGCGTTTGCGGCTCGAAGAGGACCCAGCGCTTCACGCCGTGGGTGACAGCCTGGGATCGAAATAAACCTATGCCAGACGGGATACGGTGAACTACAGGGCTTTTTGTTGTTCCCCTGTCAAAGAAAGGAAATCACAGGTTTCAACTTCACCTCGCACAAAACCAGGGTTCCCCATCCCCAGAAACATCACCCCAATTGGTTGATGCTCCAAAAGGACGCCGTCTTCGGCAGATGTCCCTGGGCAACCGGCGTTCCAGGCAGCGGTGCCCAAGGGGTCCGTGTGCACCTGAAGCATCCGGCCCATGTCCAAAACATCTGAGAGCCATCCAGAAAGATACATGGGCCACTTCTTGCGTGCCTTTCTCTGGGAAACCCCCAATAAAAGGGTGGCCGTCCTTTGGGTTTCCCTTAGCCAACCAAAAGGGTACCCTCGAAGAAAGAGTGTCCGACATGTCATACAACCGCCTGAGTGTTTCCCAAAATGGGACACGAAACCCCTAAGGCCGGTACTTGAAGGGAAACCAAAAGGAAACCTTTGAGAATTGAGAAACCGCCAAATAGGAACCCCTCCATTTCATCCGACGTGATAGTCTGAGCCAAAGCCCTCGTGACTCCCCCCCCCCTCGGCACAAACAAAGGAAAACAGGGCACTACTGGAGGACGAAACAAAGGCCGGGTTCCGCAGCTGTTCAAGTTCGGACGGACGGCCCCCTACTTTTGTGGAGGTGTTGAGGAAGCGGCTCCGCCGGAGATATTTGTTGTGGTACGGTTGATTCCTCAAATGCCACAAGGTAGGGAACCAGAAAACCCAGTCGTTGGCCGTGGTCTGTAGCTGGTGTTCTTGCTAGTTTCACTTAAATCCACCGAACCCCAACCAATTTTAACACTATATATATATATGTATGTACATGTAAATATAGACCACAGCAGCTTGTCTCTATTCGTTTAAGAAACAAAAAATGTGTATGGATGGATGGATGGATGGATGGATGGATGGATGGATGGATGGATGGATGGATGGATGGATGGATGGATGGATGGATGGATGGATGGATGGATGGATGGATGGATGGATGGATGGATGGATGGATGGATGGATGGATGGATGGATGGATGGATGGATGGATGGATGGATGGATGGATGGATGGATGGATGGATGGATGGATGGATGGATGGATGGATGGATGGATGGATGGATGGATGGATGGATGGATGGATGGATGGATGGATGGATGGATGGATGGATGCATGGATGGATGGATGGATGGATGGATGGATGGATGGATGGATGGATGGATGGATGGATGGATGCATCAATGAACGAAAGTACGAACGGAATGAACGAATGAATGTTTGAATGGTTGAATGAATGATTGAATGAATGAATGAATGCATGCATGCATGCATGAGTGAGTGAGTGAGTGAGTGAATGAAGGAATGAACGAACGAACAAACGAATGAATGAATGAATGAATGAATGAGTGAGTGAATGAATGCATGAATAAATGAATGAATCAATGAATGAAAGAATGAGTGAGTGAGTGAGTGAGTGAATGAATGCATGAATGAATGAATCAATGAATTAAAGAATGAATGAATGAATGCATGCAGGCATGCATGCATGCATGCATGCATGCATGCATGCATGCATGCATGTATGTAATCAAGGCATGTATGGATGTCTGTATATATATAGATATAGATATATATATATATATATATGTCTGTATATATATATATGCATGTAATAGTGTATATTTATGTATAGACCTATATCCCACCTGGCCGCGGGCCCCCACCTGCCGAGCTCCACCATTTTTGAGGCGCTGGCTGTGGTCCCGGAGCGCTTGGGCCCGATGCACCACCAGCGGTGGGGCGGCCGGGCGTCGTGGTTCATGAGCGCCAACCTCGCATGGGGCGTCTGGCTCCGAGGATCGGTACCCATGCTTACCCTCCCTCCCACTAACATGGCAACTGACAGAAGGTCCCTTCAAAAGGTGCCATGTTAGTTGGAGGAAGCGTAAGTCGTTTTAAAGGGAAGCCAAAAGGCAGACCACCGATTTTGGAGGGTCCCCAGAAAACACCCATATGTCCCAACATCACACCCTGTCACCCGGCGTGATGACCCAGCGTGGTTGGCTCTTCAGAGCCCCACCAGTCGTGAGGGAAGAGATCCGGCATCTCAAAGTCGTCCAGCAAGTGCCGCATGGCGCTGGTATCCTGGCCATGGGTTCAGGCAGTTGGGGGCTGGGGGTCCCCCATTTCAATGCACACACCCATGCGGGTGAGCCTTGCCCATATGGCGGGGCCCTGTTGTTTCCTCTCCCTTCAAAACCCAAAACAATCCTCGCAAACCCAATTCCATTTATCCAAATTGCCTCATGGCCGTACCAAAAGGCCGGGTCCCGAGTCGCTTTTGTCGGGCAAGTGGAAAAAAACAAAGATAGCAAGGTCGGGAACTTGCAAGCCAGGTTCCGCATGATTTCGGACTTCTGACGCCCTCCATCCTGTACGCCCCCCTTCCAAAGCAGAACATATGTTCGCCCTTTCAGAATCCTCCCTCCCCCAAAAGCAGCCCCAGCCCCTTTTCGGTTTTGCCCTTTCGGCGACCTTCCCCCCTTTTTCGCGGACCAGCTGGGTACACTGGCAATGTTTGGTCAGCCATCCACTAGGAACTGTCTGGTTGGTTTGTTGGTTTGGTTTCAGAACGGACCCTGTGGATCCTTTGGGTTGGTTTGTCCCTTTGCTCAACCATTCGGACAGACGCCACCTTTCTAGGCCAACCGGGCTGGCTCAAATCTGCGGTCAACTGGGTCCTTAATTGTTGAGCAGCACCCAGAAAAAGAAAGCCAGAGAAGCTACAAGAGCGCCTTACGAATGACAAGCACCGTTTGCAGCTAAAGCATAGCCAGGGAGTCGTCGACTTTGGTCTCGAACAAGTAGAGCGGGCTGTCCTTTGCACACTATCCCTGCCCATTTGTCTTGTCTCTGCAAATGTCTGGCAGCAAACAAGCACGGTGGCATGACGTGCGTGTTCTTCTGCCCACCACAAGATGCTTTTTGAAAGCAACGAGGCTCTTGCATCTTGCTGATGGCGGCAATAGTCGATGAAGTACTTCATCTTCAGCTGAATGTTCCTGATGGACGGTGTCCGGTCCATGGCCATGCGGCCAGAATCTATGCCTCGTCCGAATTTCTCCTGAAGGGGTCCAGGACTGGTGGATCCCACCGAGGGAGCAAAGATAAAAGAAGTCAAAAGAATAGAGGCTGGCGTAGCCAAAAACAGGCCTTCTTCCACTTCCCCACCACCCCCCCATGTCAATGACAATCAGCATTTTGCAGCACCAAGACCTGAAAAACATAATTCATACCGTGAAGAAGGGGGCCACGCTTTTCGCTCCCCCCTGCCGAAAACTGAGTCGCTGGCTTGCCCTTGTCGGTTTTCCTGGGCGCGGTTCACTGGATCCAACAGTGAGCTTTCCATTGGGTGTTTCCAAACTTTGGACGCTCCGAAATGGCTTTCCGATTTTCCTTTAGCTCTTCACACCCCACATGAAATCCAATGGATCCAACTTCTTCTGACCGCCAGGCTCGACTCAGGAACTACTCGAAATTCCAAAGACGGGCGCACCATTCGCGGCCGAGCCATTCTCCGTGTTTTTGGCGGATTCCTCTGTTGCTGGTGTAAGCTCCACGCAAAAATTCTATATTGAAGTCCGCCAAAGGGTCTGAAGTTCATACCCTTTCCCCTTTCGCGGCTAGGAATCTAACTTTGCCAGACAGACTTGATCAAGCGCGGGAAGCAGCGTACGTAGGAAGGAAACTAAAGGCCCCCCAACCCCCAAGGAAAGATTATTGGAACCTTCGAAGGGGTTCTGAGCAAAGGATTTTTCTCATCTTGTCTGGGTCTTGCAAGATCTTTTTGCCACGAGTGCTTGCTCTTTTCCATCTTTTTCCAACTTGAACAGGATCCCTGAAAGGATACTTATGGGACAAGTGAAAATCACCGTTACCGACAGATTTCGCGGATCCAACTCCTGGTAAAGAAGGCGGTTTTGGATGTAATGTCGACCCGAGATTCATAAGCCCTGTCAACATGGGGTGTTTCCCCCAAAAGAAACGGATTTCCTCCCAGAGTCTCAAATCGGACTCTTCCCATAAGTATTCATCAACTGACCTCGCTTTAAGGAACCCTGCAGGACATCCATGGCATTCGGCCGAGGGCGCAGCCCAACTTTGAAGTCAACGTGCCGGAACCTGACTGACGCGGGGGTTAGACGGAGAATCAAAGTCTGATGTGTTAAACGGGTGTACACCGGATGCAAGAATGAGGCCGGTTCCTGCCACACCTTGGGACTCACCTACCCGGTGTTTACCGTGGCTAGGTCGTGAGGTTCGAAGTGGGCCGACGATCTTCCCCTTTGATCATGGCGCTTGAAACGCGTTCCGGCTGATTGGGAACTCGGGGACCAGAATCCCAATCCCATGTACCCCCCAACAAGGCACCTAACAAGGGTCCCTTCGAGAGGAGTTTGACCTTTGAAGCGTGTGAGGAAGTGTAGTCCAGGGGTGACTGATGCCGAGTAGAACCCAAATCAATCCTGCGGAGCGACAGTGGGGACCCTTAGAAAGGTTCTCTGAACCCTTTCCAAGAAGAGACTCAGAACCCTTCCAGAAGGAGGCCTTTGGTTTCCGCCCCAAATTGCACCCTGCCCCCCTGTGCTTCTAAGCCTCTCTTCCAAGGCCGCGAGGGACCATCTACTGGATCCAGGCCATGAAGAGCACGCGCCCTGCAAACTCGACTCGAACAATCCAAATCCAGCGACAAAGGAGTCAACTCATTTATGCGAACCCAAACAGCGGCCGCATCCGCACCTATCCGCACTGTCGCCAAGCTTCAACCCAGGTATTGATTGTTGCTGACCAAACTCCGTTCTCAAACTGCTTGACCCGGTCAAATCTCATGCTCGATTTCCAAACCTAGCGCAATAAATAGGGGGTGGTTCCCCCCGGTCATTCGGAACCTCTCAAAAGTTTGAAATCAACTGGTGGGGTGGGGGGGGGAAACGAGGAAACGACCTTTTCGGTTGCCCAGGAACGCTTTTCTGAAGTTACCCTGCTCGCCCACACGGCCGCTTTGCGCGCCTCGACAATCACCGGCCGCTTCTTCTCCGCAAACTCCTGGCGAATGGCCGTCCCCATTTAAACTGAAAGAACCAAACATGCCCCCCCCCCCCCCACGCCAAAAAAAAATGGAAAGCGGTTTCCCTTGCACCCATGCGGGAATTTTGGGGAGTTGCAAGGAACTGTCCCTGGGGCCCGACATGCTGCCCAAACAACTAGCAAGCTCGTGCTCGAGAGCTTCAAACAGTTCCTTTGGCGTGTACAGTGAAAACACATCAGGGCGTGCGATGGGTTGACGGAGCCCGAGTTGCAAAAGTGGCCTTTGCTGCAAAAGGAGCGCCCAGCACTAACCCACACATGCATTTGTCTGAATTCCACCCCCCGCCCACCCCCATGCCATCAGAGAACCGCACACAGAAGCCATTCCCAAAAACACACACCTGTGGAAGCCTCCCGTCTCATTTCCCCATGGCAAAATAGGATTGTAAGCCAGTTGCCCGAAGCGTCCGCCAACCTCGCCTTAAAGAACTGCTCCGGTGAAATCTCGCTGCGCTTGACCTGGGACACCAGGATGTCTTTTGTTACTTACTTGGGCAAGTCACAACCCCAAGTGGGTGAAAGGCAAACGACCCCAGTGTCTGACTTCGGCCCAACTGGTGGAAACACGCGGGTTTCGTTTTCAAAGTCCCCTACAGCTGCGGATACGGGATCCAAAACTCGTCGGGGTTCGATTTGGTAGGGTACCCTCGACAAAAAACACTAAGACGACTTTGTTTCCCTGCTTCCTTTCACTTAGGAGGTGGGCATTGCTCCGGAAGTGCTGCGGGGTGATCTGCTGAGTTGGGATACCCGAACACACCTTTCCCCAAGACCTCCCCAAGCCAAACCCTGGTTGCTTGCAGTGCAATCCAACCATGCTACCGGGAAGTTGAAATATCTGAAAAATCGTGTATTTGCCTTTATCATTTTGAAAATCGATTTCCCGAAACAGGGTTCGGGAGAAAAGGCCGCCTGTGTCATGTTGTGAATTCATTATTATAGAAAGGGTTCAAAAGAGCTGGCAATGAGAAATACATTCCTCCAAACAGCATGAAAGGAATCTCCTTCGGGGCGAACTCTTTTGGTTTCAATTTAAAGGGGAAGACATTCCTTAAAGGATACACCCAACCACCTCATTGACACGGTGCAACCCTTTTGGTGACTTTTTGACCAGGTATCCTTCAAGGGACCCTGGGGAATCAACCTCCATGCTTTCACATGGTATCTGAATTTGGGCTCGCGCCCGAGGAATCGGAAGCGTCTGCGAGTCGTGCACGATCTCTTGGCTTAGGACCTCGCGAAGAATGTCCCATTCAAAAATTGTTTCCCCTCATTTCAGCTCCAATCGGTGGTTTGGAGTGGTTCGGAGGTGTTCCAAAGTTACCTTCAAAAAGAAGAAGGGTTCAAATCCCCAAACCACTCATCCAGACTTGTGTCCAAAAATATTTGCATGGATTGCTTTTGGACGGCTCAAAATGGTCACTGAGTGTGTCCACCAATTTTTGGGTGGCTCACCAAAAGGGATGATTCACTCAAACGGGAACCAAAAGGAAGTCAGTCCCAACCTCCATTTTTGAAGACGCCCAAATCTACGGCTTGGGAAGGGGGAGTCTGGACTGATCAACATGGGGGGGCTGTTCTCTCAAAATGGTGCAGCCAGCCTCCCATGGCGACTCACCGTCCAAAAGACTGGGGCCGGGTTCCCTTCGGTCTCTCTTTACAACACGCCCGAAAAAGGATCTGGGCACTTCAAACGAGCAGGCCCCACTTGAAGAGCAGGCTTCACTTGAAGTCCGGCAAAGTAAAGTCTCCACATTATTGGATATCCGATCCGACTTTCCATAGTCCCTTGGAAAACACCCTCAAGGCGCCCAAATCCTTTCAACGGCCATGCTGCCTCCTTGCCTCGGGTTTGATTGTTGGGCATCTCTGAGGCCCATGTTATTGCCTAATGTCGACCCCTGAGACCTAAACTCCCCAACCATAATATGTTTAATGATAATCATGCAACTATGTTCATACTCTACTCGTTCTTCTTATTATCACCATCCTCATCCTAATCCTCATACTCATCATCATCCTCATCGTCGTCGCCGTAATCCTCATAATCGTTACAATTATGAAAATTGACATTACTACTACTACTATCATGATGATTAGCATTACGATGAAAATAATCATTGCTATTATTATTATTGGTACTATCAGTAAATACCATTTGTCTTATCATTATTATTATTTATTAGTATTACTATTATGATTATTGGTACTATTATTATTATTGGTATTAGTATTATTATTATTAGTATTATTATTATTAATATTATTATTATCATTAGTAGTAGTAGTAGTATTATTATTAATAAACAATGTTTATTATTAATTATTATTATTACTATTATTATTACTATTACTATTATTATTACTATTAATATTATTGTATTATTGTTATTATTATTATTATTATTATTATTATTATTATTATTATTATTATTATTATTATTATTATAATTATTATTATTATTATTATTACTATTATTACTATTATTATTATTATTATTATTATTATTATTATTATTATTATTATTATTATTATTATTATTATTACTTATTATTATTATTATTGTTACTATTATTAGTAGTAGTAGTTGTAGTAGTAGTATTATTATTAATAAATAATTATTATTTAATATTATTATTATTATTACTATTACTATTACTATTGTTTATTATTGTTATTGACATTATTATTATGATGATTATTGTTATTATCATGTTTATTATTAATATTACTATTATTATTATTATTACAATTATTATTATTACTATTACTATTACTATTATTATTATTATTATCATTATCATTATCATTGCTATTCTTATTATTAATATTATTTTTGGAAACAAGCAGCAACAGTAGCAGCATAAAGGGGGTCACTGTGGGATTAATTTCTTCCCGAGCAACTCCCCTGAACAACTGGGGCATTAGTCAGGGGTCAACACGACCCTGTGTGACTGGAGCGACATTGGTGCGTTCTTCAGAGACCCCAATGTACCTGCCAAATTGAGCATGAACTACTGGAAATTCTGACAATGGCAGGTCAATGGACATCCCTACCAACCCAAGTGAGCGAATCGGTCCTGTGGCCATCCATATTTAAAATCAAATATGCATGTGGAAACAGAAGTCGCCCCGGAAACCGAACTAGAGGCCAAGGGCCAAGCATCCTCTCGCAGCGCGTAACCAAACTTGGCCCATTCTGTCCTTGGCGGAATCATTGGCAAGTATTTATTGATTGCATCAACCATTCATGGTAGCGTGATCAAACCGAGATTCCATTCTTCGCACCCCCAAAGGCAAGCTCCGGCTTCCTAAGTAGATTGGCCCAAAATAGTTCAGATTTGTTTAACTGTGCCACCAAATGGCCCACGTCTGGGGTACATAGACAATCATATCGTCAGATTCTATTTGATATTTCATCTACTCTAGCATACATGACAGTTCTGCAGGCACTGGCATAGCACCCTGAGTGCAGCACGGCTTGATGTCCGTTCGTTGTCCCTTCCGGCATCGGTGGATCTCGGCGGCAGTCCTCCTGTGCTCAAACCTCGCAGCTCCGGATGTTGGCACTTGGGTGTGGCTCCTTTTGTTGAGGTAGGACCCCCTTTTTTTGGGTAGCTTGCAAGGGAAACCAAACCAAAACCACGCGTGGAGACATACTTTCACGCCTGAGGGTTCCGTTGAACACTGAGTTTGGTCCCTTGGCAATCCCACCCATGCTCACGACTGGAAACGATTCCTGAGAGCGCAGCGTTTGCCTCCACAAATCGTGCGCCACCTTGGCATTTGAGACAAGCTGAGACTGGGGCTCAGTTTCGCCAACAAGTTGGTGTTTGTTTGAAACTGCATCCGCCACATAAGCTTGACAACTCAAAATGATAACAATTGCCTGAGCCCGCCACTTTCTTTTCCGGCATTTCCTGAAGGAACCAGGAATGATGTAAACCAAAGCCAATCTGATTGTTTGGCCAATGTCAACCAGGAACCGAAGATAAGGGTTCCTGGCCGTCCGTTCTTTGTTCATGTGCTGTTCGGTTAGACCAGAAAAACCGACAATCGGGGCGGTCCAACGGTCTTTCTTCAAGGGACAGCCACAAACCAAGCCAATCTGACCACTGCAACAAATCGCGAGTATCGGCGTGCAGCCTGCTGTCCACACATGGCGGAGCAAGGTACAATGGTTCCAATGCAAGTGAATATTCAGGACGTACATGGTGCATGTGTCGTGATTGTTTGTTTGCCTGTTGAATGAGCTGAATTTGTTTTTCGTGCCATAAGTGATGCTTGTCACGTTGACGAATATTACGGGTGCCGTTCCGTCCTTGATATTGCTTACATGTATTATCTCAACCTTGGCCATGAAAAGTTGGTCGTGCCGCACATGCATTCAAGCATCCCAAATAATACGCCATTTGCGCACGCTTACTGATTGACACATCACAACAAACACCACCACAACCACCAACCTGCAGCAGCAATCGCAACAACCACGACAACAACAACAACAACAACAACAACAACAACAACAACAACAACAACAACAACAACAACAACAACAACAACAACAACAACAACAACAACAACAACAACAACAACAACAGCAGCAGCAGCAGCAGCAACAACAACAACAACAACAAACAGGAACAACAAACAAGAACAACAAACAAGAACAACAAGCAAGAACAACAAACAAGAACAACAAGCAAGAACAACAAGCAAGAACAACAAGCAAGAACAACAATCAAAAAACAACCAGCAAGAACAACAAGCAAGAACAACAATCAAAAAACAACCAGCAAGAACAACAAGCAAGAACAACAAGCAAGAAACAACCAGCAAGAACAACAAGCAAGAACAACAACAATCCAGAACAACAAGCAAGAACAACTAGCAAAAACAACAAGCAAGAACACCAATCAAGAACAACAAACAAGAACAACAAGCAAAACAACAAACAAACAAACAAAAACGAGCAAGAACAACAAGCCAGAGCAACAAGCAAGAACAACAAGCAGGAACAACCAGCAAAAAACAACGACGACGACGACGACGACGACGACGACGACGACGACGACGACGACGACGACGACGACGACAACAACAACAACAACAACAACAACAACAACAACAACAACAACAACAACAACAACAACAACAACAACAACAACACCAAGCACATCCGTTACCACAACCACAACCACCACCACCACCACCACCACCACCACCACAACCACAACCACAACCACAACCACAACAACAACAACAACAACAACAACAACAACAACAACAACAACAACAACCATAACCGTCACAACACCCGCAACAACAACCAGAACAACCAAAAACCAGTTTCAACTCCGCAAACTATTACAAGGAAAACATTTGAAAGGACACGTGGGTACTGCGGTGCTTGGTCGGAACCAGAGGCGATCTGTCTGCTGGACCCCTACAACATGACAACTGACAGCGCTCGGCAAAGGTGAGCTGGACAAGATCGACCTGGCTTCCAATCCAGCCCAGAAAACATCAAAATTGTCAGTTTTGACAGACCAAACTTGACAAACTTGACAAATTTGACAGATTTAGCAAGCACGGGCGCGTCGCGCTGGAAGTTGTCGGACTTCCACAGCACCTCCACCTTGGCGTTCGCCGCAGCATCCACAACAAGAGTCGTGCAATGGCTGCTCTTCTTCCTCATCATAGCAGAAAAAGTCCGGCTACACCGTTTCCAGCGGGACACTCCAGCCACACCCATCACGCTTTGTTGCAGGTTTGTGCGTGGCTTGTTTCAGCGTCAGGGCTCTCGATTCTCCAAACGGGCTTAATGCAGCTAAGAGGGTTCTGACGAGCCCCGCGCCACCACTATATCGACCCCTCAATATGCTTGCAATTTGCCCCGTCGCTGCGTTTCTGCAAGGCGAGCTTACAGGCAAGTCTTCCAGGACATAGCCCAGAGTCCTTGCGGCGCAGTTACCGTTTCTTCTCGCTGCACGCTCAGCGCGAGCACGTTTTATCTCTCTTTCAAGGCGTTGCCTAAAAAACGAAAGGCTGCGCCTACCACGCACGGAGCTGCGAATTCAAAGGCGCCCTGGCTCGGCTTCTTCTGCCCCGCTGGTTTTGGAACTTGACGCGCGCTTGCAAGTTCGCCGCCCCCAAAGTGCGCCAGCTAGGCGGCCCGTGCCACTTGCCGCTCTTGAGCCTGTGAGAAAGACATACTGCGGAGAGCTGCGGCAGCGTGGTTGCCTGACGCAAGACAACGCAGTCAAACGGCTGCAAAAGGTCTTTGGGAGGCTTTACAAGAGGCTTTTTGTCGCAACTTGACACCCGCCGAATCTGTCTGCAGCTTTGCGTTTTGGCTCGAATGCGGTTGTCGTGCTGACAGCCTGTTCTGCCAGCATTGGTTGTCACGTTAAAAACAGGGTATTAACATGTCTCAGGCTCTCTCTTTAGAGGCCATTCCCCAAACGGGTTCTATTGCACCTGGGAGGCTTCTGACACTCGTCCGTCCAGGAAACGACCTCGTCCTGCGAAGGATTCGAAATCTAAAATGCTGCGCGCAGGCGTGTGGCTGCAACAAAACGCTAGATATGCTTGCAATTTGCCTCCAGGTTGCATTTCAAGCAAGCCGAGCTTTGCAGGGCTAAGGAAAAAATAAAATATAAAAAAGAAAAAAGTCCCCAAAAAGGGGGCCCGAAACAAAAGGGAAAAGGGGTTTCCTTTGGCAAAGCTCGACCTTGCTTGACATGCAACCTGGAGGCAAATTGCGGCGCATATCTAGGGGTCGTTTTGTTGCAGCCACACGCCTGCACGCAGCATTTTAGATTTCGAACCCTTCGCAGGACGAGGTCGTTTCCTGGACGGACAAGTGTCAGAAGCCTCCCAGGCGCAAGAGAATCCGTTTGGGGAATAGCTTCTAAAGAGAGAGCTTGGCCTTGTTAATTTGACCTTCCGTCGATTCAATATTGCCTCAATATTGCCTCAACAATGGCCTGGCATGGAGGCCTCGACGCCAGCCCGCCGAGCCTTGCCACGTGCCTGGCATCAAAGCCTCCAGCCTGCCGAGCCGCGCCAACCGAGGTCGGAATTCCGACTTCGCTCTCTCACCAAGGTCGGAATTCTGCCACCGAGGTATTTGGCCCGAAACCCCATCATCAAATCCCTCGCAAGCTGCTCACGGCGGGCGTCGATGTCGATTTGGGTCATCTCACGGAGGTGCCCGATATCGATTTTAAGCAGCTCATGCAGGTGGTCGCTTGGGCTTCGGGCTGCGCCTTGGGCCCTACCTCATTGCTGATTGACCCGCACGGCTGCGCTGATGAGCCTCAGCCTCTGGGATCTCACCCAGGTGCTGATTTGCATGTTCCGGCCTCTTTTTTCCATGCAATCGCCTACAGCATAATCGCCGGTCGATATCAAGGAAAATGAGCAAAGGACAGAGGCTTCTTGGAAGCAATGCAACTCAATAAATTCGACACGCACGGCAATGCAAGACACCAAAGGGTGAACAGAGAGCCGACCAAAGCCGTTTCTCAGCAAAAACCACGCAAGCAAAAGTAAGTGAGACCAGGACAAGGCACCATAGGCACCAGCCCAGAAAACGCAGAAAACACAAGCGAAAGCTGGAGCATCTGTGCCGCGCTCAACAGCTGGTGAAACCGAGGCCCTACGCCTGAAGACATACGAGATGTCGAAAACCAGGCTGCCCTTCTCGCAAGCCAATCACCTGCTAATCGAAATTCCGAGCCAGCATAAGGCCAAATCCCAACTAGGGAATGGCATCCAGGAAAGAACAAATAAGGCACCCAAAAGCCAGAGGTCATCAAGCTGCCATGTAGAATTCCCCCGTAGCAAACATCATGCCAGAAAGAGGTAGCGCGCCACCGCAAAAGATCCAGAAAATGAAAAGGGGCGGGGAAATCAAGGTCCCCGCAATGTCACCAAAGTCTGTAAATAATAGGTCTTGCCAGTGCAAAAACCCGAAAGGCCGAAAAAGGGGCCGCCACAGCTGTGCAATAATTTGGGCCAGGACACCGCGTCGACACCGCTTAGGGCATCGGGTCAATGCGCCGCCCAACACAGGAGGACCACCTATAGCAACGCAAGATCACCGAGACGTCCAAGAAGTCGGAGATGAAGAAACTGTACCAGGTCCTGATAATCTGTGACAATATGGCCGATATGCCTCAGCTCCACAATCCGAGGCCGGCGCATGCAGATCAGCACCTGGGTGAGCTCCCAGAAGCTGAGGCTCATCAGCGCCGCCGTGTGGGTCAACATGCAATTCCTCTGCTGCTGCAGGCTGCGCACCAGCGCGAGCTGGACGCAGTCGTCGAAGAGCTGAGCGCCCTGCTGCCAAGGACAAGCTGCGCCCGGTCTTCCTGCGCTTGTGGGTAAGGTATAGTTACGACCTGCTGGTCGGTCGCACAAGTGGTGGCCGCGGCACTATGTGCCCCGATTCTAGTTGCCCACGAATCGGTCACGCAATGCGAACCTGACTACCTGTTCCTTGTTGGTATTGGTCGCAGGCCCCGTTCTTCACTCCTTCTCTTGAGCGTTCACTACCTTTTGCAGCAATGGCCATTTTTAGTATTGCTTACAGACGTGGCCTGGCTGATTTAGCCGGCTCTGTCGGTTGTCCACGCATTGGGGACCGCATTGACTTCATTTTCAGAACAGGTCTATTTCTGCATTCAGTCTTGGCGGTGTTGGAACGGTGCGGCGTGAGCCTCCTTTCACTTCCTCCCTGACATGGGTGGCCTCGTCCCAGTCCTCCCACTAAACCTGCTCGCGCTCCGTGTTCACCCCCAGCCCGATGTACTTCTTGACGGGGATCCAGCCATCATCGACGTTGATGGAAGGGCTGAAGATGTAGATTTTCTCAAAGACGCCACGTTGATCAGCGCCACGGTCTTGCCCGATTTCGACGGCCCGAGGAAGATGCCGGTGCACGGCACCAGGGCACCACGGGGTCCGAGGGCTGCTTTCTGGTGTATCCGAGCGCTGCTTGCTGGTGTACTCGGTCGTGGGGAAGACCTTAATCTTCCCCATTCGTCCTTTCGCGTTACTTCCCAAACTCGAAGACGGGAAGCCGGGCAGCGAGTCCGGGTGTGATGTGGGATTTACCATATCACTGCCGGAGTTTTCCGGGCAGCGACTGGGAGAGATGCGCGATTTAACGCATCGCACCCTGAGTTTTCTGGG